GTGGCCATGTTCGCTGGATCCCACACGGGCGTATGCCAGTGGACGCTCTCACCAAGGAGGACGTCACGAAGTGCAATGCCGCTTTGTTCGATTTAATGTCCCATGGTCGCCTGATTTCGGTCGACGAGAGCTCAGAGGTGGCGAGACGCCGCTCCGAGCCGCAGCTCAAGAGTCGATCACAAGCAGCTTCGAGAGAAGAACTCGCTCGGGAGTCTCAGCCCACATGGATCCAGTTCCTGTCGGGGAGTTTTGCCGGTGGTGGTAGTAGTGGTGGTGTCGGTCCTCCTCCCCCCTCCTCTCTCTCTCTCTCTCTCTCTCTCTCTCTCTCTCTCTCTCTCTTCAGCTGAACCATCTATGCGCAGTTTGCCCTTGCCATCTCCGCTCTTTCAGTAATAATTTTATCGTGTACAGTTTCTGTCCTTTCTTATCCCCTCTCCGTTCAAGTTGAGAAGGGGGCCGTTCCAACACAGGAACGGATAGTTGCTTTTAGTTGAGCCCAAGAGGGTGCTGAACCTAGGAGAAGCCGGACGGGTGTGACTGATCTCCAGAATTTACGTATTAGGTTTAGCATTTGAGATCTTTACCTTGGTAGTCCTACCGAGTTGCAGAGTGTGCTCGGTGTACTGTTACCCTCTGTGGCTCAAGCCCAAAAACGTTCATCCAATCCTGTGCTGCCACACGGCGCCTTCCAAGAAGCAGCCTCCTCCTAAGAAGCTGTCCCCATCCCCCCACAGGGCGCTGAAATACGGAGCACTCTGGGCACGGAAGGGGCTCCATGCGCACTGGCTCGTCCTGTGATCGTTTTTCTGGCCCTCCTCGTGCACGCAGGCGCTTTGAGGGCCCAGAAGGCAGCTCCGTTCCTTACCTACTGGTCCTGCTTTCAGCGACCGGCTTGTACCCCCCTGCGCGCGCCTCCAAGAAGGGGTCGAGACCGCCAGGGGCCCCCGTCACGAAGCAGGGCGGGGTCGGAGAGGGTGATCGTTTTCTTCGTCAGGAGTGGATCTGGGATGTTCTTGGCGAACAAATAGACCACCGCTGTCCTGTAGAATGCTTGATCGGACAGTGCTCAGAGGGTCCGTCAACCTTCTCGCACAGCTGGCCCCGAGTACGGTTGGAGGCATCCTCGAATCTAGCATCCCAAATCGAATCGCCGGCGCCACGTCGTCCGGAACAGCCGTCGTGGCGCAAGGTCTCGACCGCGTCATCTCTCGACACGGGAGGCTTGGACGCACTGCTGCAAGCGGTCGCGTGGAGCAGAGGTTCGGAGCCAGGATGCCTCCCGCCCCCCCTCCTCCCCATGGAGTGGATCTTGGGTGCTTTCGACGCCCGTGCCGAGCAGGCGCCGAGCAGGCGGAGTCTCCCCCGGAGGGCGCACTGCTGCAGGCGGTGGCGCGGAGCAGAGGTCCAGAGAGCCCGGAATCCCTCCCCCCGCATGCCTGCCCGCCCAGCGCCGAGGCGCCGAGGAAGAGAACACGCGCTCTCACGAGGGGGGAGGGCGCAGGCCCCCCGCCTGAGCGACTCGAGAGACGAGTTCGGGCCTGTCCCTCCACGGGAGGAGTCTTCAAGCATCGTCGAAACAGAGCCTGGGGACGATGCTTTCACCATGCAGTTTTGTTGATTGTCCAAACTGTGTGGGCGTTGTTTTACTATCTGATCATTTCTCGACTATTCTCTTTAATTTGGAGCACTGTGGGGTACTTCGAAGATGAGTATAGTTGGTGTTCTTTGCCGACCATCTTCAGTTCTTCGTCCCGAAGCCGCCCGCAGGGGGACACGCCCGACCCAAGCCTCGAGAGACGAAGGCCGGGCGGGGCAGGCCTCGCCCTCGGCCGCCTCTCCGGGGGTTGGGCCGCTCCCGAGAGAGGCTCGGGCCGTCGAGGCTCGGCGAGGGAGGCGAGGCGAGGGAGGCGAGGGGTGGAGAGAGAGCCTCGACGCTCTCGGGCCTCGGGCCGTCGAGGCTCGGCGAGGGAGGCGAGGCGAGCAGGGGCGGGCCTGCTCCCGAGGCTTAAGTTCGGGGGTGGACAGAACCCCCAACAGTGACACGTCGATTAGTGAATTGTCCTTTTCGGTTCTCGAGAGGGCGCCGCGGCCGTTATTTTCCAGGCTCCCGCCCGCCAGGTTTGGGCCTCAGGTCGTTTTCACTAAACCACGTTTTACTAAAGGGAGGTCTGTCCATCCCCGATAAGTCGGGCCTGTCCCTCTACAGGAAGAAGAAGAAGAAGCAAACATAGTTTTTTCAAGGTAGTAGGTGGACGATTTATGTATGGCTCTCTCGCCAAAAATCGGCCTGTAGGGGGACAGGCCCGACCCAACCCAAGGCTCGGCAGCCCTCCCCGGCTCTCCGGGAAGTTCTCGGCGCCCTCCCCCCGCAGGCGCAGGAGAGCCTCCTGGAGCCCTCCCCCAAAGGCCATCGGAGAAGCTCTCGTGGCCTGCGCCGACGCCGCCGACGGCTTCTCCGAGGGCCGGAGCGCTTCCGAGAAGCCCCATTGCCGTCTGAGAC